TTCTATAATAAATATATACCTCATATTATTAATAAATTATTATTTTATTTAAAAAATACTAAATATAATTAAATTTTTCAAGCAAATTTGCCTGGAATATAGTTTAAGGGATAAAAAATACATACCAGTATTTCTTTATTATTCTGATATCTATCTTTTATATATTTATTATTAATCTAATTTGCTACAGTTATTTGGTAGATCTATAGTAATATAAAGAATAGATACTAGTACAATATATTAGATAAATAAAGGGTATCTATTATTATTCTGATATTGATCCTTTATATAATCATTATTTATCTAGTTGTTATATGTGTTTGTTAAATTTATAGTAGCATAAAAGATAAATATCAGTATATTCAAAATAAATTTTATGTTCTAATATTTTATCTTTTATGTATCTACTTTTAATCTGATTTGCTACAGTTCTTTGGTAGATTTAAGGTAACATAAAAGATAAATACTAGTACAAAATAAAAGATAAATATTAGATAAATAAAGGATATTGATTAATATCCCAATATTAATTTTTTATTTGATAATTATATATCTAGTTGTTATATATATTTGACAGATCTATAGCAGTATAAAAGATGAATATCAGTATATTCAAGATAAATATCAGGCAAATATAGTCAAACCTCTCTATAGTCACTTCCTCTATAGTCACAAAATTGATATAATTACTATTTTATTTTTACCAATTATTTATAGCTATATAGAAAATACCTCTATATTAGTCACACTTCTTTATAATTACAGTATTTTGTATCTCAAAAGTGTAATTATAGAGGGGTTTGACTATAATAGATATTTTTTATTATCCTAATATTGATATTTATATAACAATTATATATCTATTTTGCTACCAATATTAGTAACTATAGTAATATAAAAGATAAATAATAGTATATGCAAAGATAACTATCAGTTAACTAAAGGATTTTCTTAATATTCTGACTATACATATCAACAAAATTATTTTAGGTTTCGGGGTATGAAATTAAAATTTGAAGATGAAATTGTTTTTGATCTGCTTTACTTAAAAGACAAATTTTTTTGACACTTTTTTTGAAGAGATGAAATTATAAGGAACATAATTATCTAAATTAGATTTGCTATTGCATATAAAAATTTCCAAATTGCTCTAATGGAAACGAAATAAGGGTTTTTTGAAAACCTATTTTGGTGGTATGTATAATTCTGATATCTATCTGTTTTGCTGCTGATCTAAGCAGATATAGCAAAATAAAAGACAAAAAACAGTATATATAAAGATAGATAGTAGTAAACTAAAGAGATTCTTTTAATATCTCAATATCTACTTTTAGTAAATTTATTTTTACTAGATGATATTAAAGATGATATTGATATAATTTAAATAAATAGTTAAGTTTTTAAGATATTTTATTTTTTATTTATTCTTGATATATAATTAAAAAGTGATATTTTAATTTTTTATTATTTAATATATTCATTTCTTTTATAAATATTATATATATATAATTAATAGCTAAATAAATATATAATAAAATTAAAAATATTAAAAATAAATTATTTTCTAATATGAGGGTATAGCAACTTAGTGAAGTGATGAAGTTGTTGCATCCCCAAGCAGCAGGACCAGAGTTCGAATCCCACTGGTAACGAAATTTGAATTTATGGAAAATGCATTTAGATAACTGTATTCTATTGGGTTATAGAATCTGTAATGGGGTTACACCAGCTTGTACTGGGAGGCAGTGAAATGATAAGTGTAATGTACGAGTTGCACAGCAGTGAAGCTGCCGAATAAATCCAGTAGATTAATAGGATACAGAAGTCTGCTTGGAAAGACCTGAACAAAGATGTAGCACAAATCTTCAACGGTATTACCTAATAATCTGAAAAGAGGAGAACCAGATGGCAGGAAAAGGAGAAACTGAATGGCAGGAAAAGAGGGAACCAAACAGAACCGAAGTGTTTGGCAAGGCACTTCACCAACCAGGCCACCGGCTGAGTAATCAGAAGGAAAGGACCTAATCGTGGATATCAAAAGCAGGTTACAGCCCTTCTGAGCTATCTGGATTGGAAGTTTGGTAAACTGGAAGTAAGGCTTAGTTTGAAAAACTGGAAGTAGAGCTTAATCTGAGAAACCAGAAGTATAGGTTATTAAGTGTATACTGGGTTTGAGCGAACTTTGTAAAGGCACAAAGTAGGTAATGGTAGCGGCTTTAGCTCGCAAGTACTTGGCCTCAGCCTAGGTGTAAGTTACTGAAAATCTAGATAATATATGTGTAGGACATGGACTGCTCTAGTAGGTTTATCACAAGGTCAAAGGATCCTTCTATATAAAAGTATATGTTTGCTTTAAAGACTTAGCAGGTCTTAGCAGCAGGTTCCTCTTTAGGGAAGATATCTGATGGTGTGAAGTTAATCAGAGAGTTTAAATAGGTAATCTCATAGTTGAATTACAGGTATAGCATCTAGTGTAGATCTAGGATAGGCAGACTACTTAAATAGATACTCAAAAGACGCAGATATGACTAGAATGTACTCTTGTTAATATAACAAGATTAGGCATTATTTATATGACTATGCTGATATCAAACTAAAAGTTTAATAAACCATGTTAGATCTGTGAGTGGTTACCTTAACATTAAAAAAAAAAAAATTATTTTTTAATACTATGTCTAGAACCTCTAGATGCTTTTTAACTTGAACCACCTCTATAATAATGTAGTTTAGAAGATCTAATAGTATTGACAAAATAACTATTAAGATCTTCATTTAATTCTATATTATAAAATAATTATTAATATTTGGTTTAAGTTGCAGATAAATTAGTCTGAGTTTCTTTTCTTGCTATCTTAGAATATGAAGTTTAAATATATTCTTTTCTTTGTATAAGAGTTATATTCTCTTTTCTTTGTAAGAGAGCTATATATTCTTTGCTTTGTAAGAGAATTAAATTAAATTTTAATAAAGACATAGTCTTACCATTAATATTCAAAAAAAATAATAATAATAATTAAATTCATATATAAAATAAAAAAAGACAATTTTTAAAAATATAAAATCAAGATTTTTAAGATTACTTACTAAGTAAACAGTTCTTGAGGATTTAATAAAAGTTGTAACAACTGTTAATACAATCCTAATGATGATAAAAATGTTAAATTTGGTCTAGTATTTTAAAAGTTATAAACAATTTATGTTTTGCAATCATATAAAATTTTTTTATAGATTTATAAGGCAAATTATATGATCGTAAAACATCAATCACTTATAACTTTTGATCTACTGAACTGAATTGGACATTTTTACCATCATTAGAACCACATTTTTAAAACTCGATTAATAAATTTTTTAGAAAATAAATAGATAAACAATAAGTAAAAGATAATAAAAAAGAAAAAATAAAGTATAAAAAAGAATTAAATAAAAAAATTTTTTTGTAATTTTTAATTTTTTTTAGATAGTTTATATTGTATTCACGGAAATAGGAACAGGAGTATCAAATTTTATAAAATTTATACATAAGATTTTTATTTACTAATACAAAACAAATTTTATATATTTGATAATTTAATTTGTATATTTTTAAATAAAAAAATAACTGTAAATTTTTTATTTAAAATTTCATAAAAAAATATTAATTTTTGATAAAGTTTTATATGTAGTAAAAAAAAGTTCCCAGAAATAGGTACCTTTACTTTACTGATAAAGACATTTAAGAAAAAAAAAATCATAATTATTGAATTATTGAGAAACCTTTGATTAAAGTATAAAAAAAAAAAAAAATTACAATTTTTTTTTAAACAAATTTAAATAAAGCTTTCTTGGCAATTATCCGATTAGATTTTATTTTAATTTTATAAAATCAGAATTCAAAAAAAAAATTTGAGAAATTCTTATTTAAAATTGAAAAAATATGATCGCAGATTTTCTTTTCCAAGGTTTCAACTTTGCTTAGACAAATATTTTTACATGATAAATGAAAGAAAACATAATAACAATTTTATTTTAATTCTGCAAGTTCATAGAATCAAAAATAACAAAACTTTTATCGAATTTAATAAATGTTTAAAAAAAAATGTAAAAATTAAAAAAAAAACCTGTATAACCAATCAAATCCTGGATCTGCAGCGCATTAATCGATAAAAAATTTTCATCAAGTATCACAAAAAAATTATCTTTTTCTTATTCAACATGAAGGTTCCGAAAGGTTTTTGGGGTATATATAAAGTTTGTTAATGTACTATACATAAATTAATTTGATTCTAAATTTTGAATATTACTTCAATTTTAGGTCTTGAGATCGAACCCGGACTTTCATATAGTCAAAATGTCCGGCATAATATCAAAATATATATGGTATAATGAGTTCTTGAATTCGTGTGCAATTTGAGAAAAAAAACGTTATTGGTGACCAAATTTCAATGGTCTGCAATTAAAGGCAGCATTAGTACTTGAAGGATCAGAAGAGTCGGAAGGATCGGAAGGATCAGAAGAATCAGAAGAACTTCGGACAACACTTTATATAGAAACAAATAATAGGAAGTTCGTTTTGTGTAATTTGATCTATGGAATGGTAAGCCTCTTTTGTTTCTTTTTGTTTATATTTGTCCTGTGATAATAGATTTTTCTAATCAATTTCAAACTTCAAAATAAGCACGAGCAACAAAATTTAAATGTTACTTTATTGGAAGGAGAGGATGTTAAATTATATTCTGTGGGACACAAGTAAGATTCAAACATAAATATTCGTGTTTAAATACGTGATTAGCTCCTAATAAAGTGTTAACAACCATAGCAAAATACATTTGACGGGAAATTACATAAAAATAATTGGTGATGATTCAGAAAATAAGCCTAAAGAACTTCCTTCACCAATAAAATGTAAACTGAATGATGAAATGGATGTGAAGAAGGTGCTCAAAGTTAGTAACGAAACGCCCAAATTATCAGTATCAGAGGTAAATGGAATTCCAATAATTATACATTTCGTAATATTACATAAAGCGTTATATAACGAATTCTTTTATACAGAAGAAAGATGCAATAACCAATGCGGATGATTCAGACGAAGATGTTAGTGAGGAAGACGGCTTCTCGGATCAGGCAATCGTCAAAAATAAAGTTAAAGGTGAAAATGGTAAATCTCAGAAAAGAACAAGTGACGATGACAAAGATAAACAAAAAACACAACAAACACCCGCAGCAAAAAAACAAAAGACTGAAAATGGGCCAATCGAAACTAAGAGCGTAGATGTGTCATCAAAGGCACAAAAAAAGGTTTGACAATTTTTTCCAGTTTATTGTGTAATTTTTTAATTAATCCTAATTGATATAATTGCACAGAAGAAAAATAAAAAGAAAAAACTCTTAGACAGTAAAGCCGAAACTTTAGCAAAAGGTTTAGAGCCTGAAAAATCGAAAATCGAAGGCGACAATAAAAATGGTAAAGCCGAAACTTTAACAAAAACCTTAGGACCTGAAAAGCCGAAAACCGAAGGCGACAATAAAAATGCAGAGTCAAAAGATAAAGACTTAAAGTTAGACTCTGATTCCATGGAGAAGGTAGAATAAATTTAGGTCTCTTTTGAGTAAAATTTATTATTAACTGTTTTATAATTATTAGGGAATTATCACAACTCCTGAGGGTGTTCAAATCGAAGATCTCACATCAGGTATTGGAAAGATTGCAAAACCCGGCAAGAAGGTAATGAGCGTTAGTTGAACATTTAAAATTTTTAAGTTATTTTAAACAAATTTAAAATATTTTCTAGCTTCATGTCCGATACATCGGACGACTCATGAATGGTAAAGTTTTTGATAAAAATGTCAGCGGAACACCATTCCACTTCACTTTGGGTAAAGGTGAAGTCATTAAAGGTACTATCCTATTAATATCTTTATCATTGATTTCCTTTAATTTAATAATGTTATCTAAAATTATTGGTTAGGTTGGGAGATTGGAATTTCTGGTATGCGAATTGGTGGCGAACGAAAATTAACAATTCCACCGCAACAAGCTTATGGCAGTGCTGGAAGCCCACCAGGTTAGTTCATTTAGTTTACCACGTTGACTCTTAAATGTATATCATATAATGGCAGTTTAATTAAGCACTTTTATTAACTATAGTTATTCCGAAGAATGCTACTCTTGTGTTCACGGTACTGTTAATCAAATTGTCTTCAAATGTTATTGGTGTAATTCCTAATCATCTTTTATATATTGTATTCAGATCAAATTACTGGATGTAAAATGAAAAAGTGCATGGTACGTATAAAATATATTAATATTTTCTTGTAGAGTGAATTTATGCAATTATTTATCACTATTTATAATGTGCTGCGGAAATTGTGTCGAACATTTTTTTTTTTCTAGTCTTTGTAAATCTCATTAAAGAATACATCTATACTCAGGAAATATTTTTTAAAAAAGTTATTTCATTCAGTCGTTTGCTAGCAACTGAACAAGTTATTTATGTTATGGATTCTATTAATACTATATTGACCATTTCTCCGCAATTTCGAACAAATAAAGCAAATTTTATTTAGTAATGAAACATTGCATGGGAACTTCGTTATTGCTGCTTGCATTCTGGTCGCTCTAATAACCAAGAATTTGCATAAGTACATAAAATCAATCTCATCACAAATTAACAAGATAAAATAATTAGGCGTAATATTTACCCACCTCCCCATTCCTTCCGCCGGCCTGTAATAGTTGAAGGTAGAGAAACAAATATTATGGATTAAATAATAAGATACATGTCAATTTAGGTAAAATGAAAATCAAAAGGATAGTAAACGTTAAGAAATAAGCTAAAGTAACAGTATAATAAAGTGTAAAGCGATATAAAAAATAACTTTACAGTTCGTAATGACCTTATTAACAATATTCATGTTATAATAACTATTCTAAGCTAACCATTAAAAATAATATAAATATATAATGAAACCAATAGATAATCTAAAATTTAAACTAATATTTTCTGGAATAATAAATAAAAATATCTCCCAAAGCAGCCCTAATTTGTTCGTGGTTTTACCCTATTTTCAACTAAGCGCCCTTCAAATTGAGGTATTTTCAGATACTTACTAAATGTCACCACGAACGTTTGGTAGAATAAAATAAAAAAAACTTTACAAGATTGTTAGAGATGTCCTAAGACATTTACTTACTCCTTCATCGTCACCATCGTCGTCTTCATCGTCAATTTCTTCATCATCGTCATCGTCCTCATCATATATGAAATCATCGTCACCGTAATCATCGTCATATTCTTCATACTCTAAAGCCTTACCAGTGTACCAATCAATGGCGCGAGGAATAAGTTTTTCTTTTATATCTTCACCAATTTGATAATCCAATTCAAGACGTGAATCCAAGTCATCATCGTCTTCTTCACAATCTGGCGGAGGCGGATTGAAAAATTGAAAGAATGATGCGGCAGGTACAGTAGTCCTTACCACACGAGTTTTGTTGGTACCTACAAATATAATACTAATTGTAAACTATATATGTGCATGCAAAAAAAAAAAAAAATTTTTTATTTCAATGCATAGATGCCTTTATGTTTTTGTCTTTTCGTTTCCACCGTGATAGTCAGATCCATGCCTTCTTTCCAGTCAATTTTTGTGCC